ACATGCAGGTAAATGGCTGCAAGCAGCAACAGCAGAGAGGTTTTTTTAGTGTATTTATGTCTACAGAACATAAACAGAACATATATCCTGTGATATGCCAATGCCAATATGTTCTGCACGTTCCGCTCACTCCAAGGCCAGTAAATGGGCTCTACTCTACAAGCTTCTTATTTGCAGGACACAAAACTTACTGAGTCACATGCCCAGCAACTTCAGCTCTGTTAACTGGAATATATGGCAGGGAAGTTAAATCTTTGCTTTTGAACATACACAAAAAATAGGATACTAACTTGGCATCCTTGCTTACTCAGGTCACTCCAAAAATAAGGAGAGTCTGTAGGGCTACCTTGGGGTTTCACCTTTTGCTCCATTACTCAAGTATGACTAATTTTGAAGCTAATAAAGGACACCGAGAAGTAAAGGGCAGTTCTCCTCCCTCCCCCGCCAGCTCCAGCATAATTTGTCTTCCAGGAGCTTTGAACCTCCTTTTCTCATATAAAAACAAACCTAAGTCAGAAACAATAAAGCCTCTCTTCCACCAGGCATCCCTAAAACCATGTGTATAATGGTTTAATGAGCAGTGTATAAGTACTTCTTTACAAAGAGGGGATGCTATTTTTAAAGTCACTCAGCAAATTGTTTCTCATCGTGCATTCGTTTGAACAGTTTCACTTAAATTGGCAGACTTGACTTTTTAAAAAAATTTTTAATAGAGGGGAAAAAAAGATGAAATATATTATTAAAGTGGTGCATGTTTGCAGGATTATTCCAAGAGAGAATTGGAGAATTCTATTTTTAAGATCAGCACAAATAATTTTCATTATTGTTTGCAAAAACAGAGTCAAAATGGGATCCCTTGCTTGCTACTACTTCCAAAGTATTCCAGGGAGCAATCACATTTTTTGGACTAACCAATCATTTACAAAATTCCTTAATTCCTTTTTTTTTTTTTTTTTTTTGAGGGGGGTGGGGGGAAGAAGCATGTTAGTCTGACTACTGTTGACGATCATCATTTTGGTTCACTGCAACATTTCCTCAGATGAATCTAGCGTTTAAAAATAAAGCAGCATTCCTCACTAAGTGCAAACAAGTTGTTCTGTGAGCAGCAGAGCTAATGAAAACTCTTCTCCTGTGGCGTTACTGCTCACATTCCCTAAACACACTCCCCTGTCCTCCCTCCTGGGCATGCAGCAACACGTGCAGCAGTTACTTTGGTGCGTGTGTTTTGCTGACTACCTGATGCATCTTGCATAGGTAGAGAGGCAGAATTATACCTGCCTTTCCTTGAATGAAGGGCATTTGGTTCAGTCTTGCCTCACTCTGGTGGCCACCTTTCACAAAACTCCTAGAAAGCTTTGTGTTTTGGAGAGCTAAACCTGAATTAGGTGGAAACGGGTATTAGTTTGGGTGAGATAGAGAGGGAAAACCTGGTGGGACTGCATAATCTTTGCTTTTTTTTGGAAATCCAGGCTGCAGCACAGTAAAACTTGTTCTTGCTTTCATTTATGCTAATTACAAAACAAGCCAATACGGAATTGGTTTTCCTATTATTATTGTTTTATGGCAAAAATGCAAACATAGAGCATCTACAGAACATGCTATTGAACCATTCAGAGAAACAAAAATTGTCTCCAAGTAACCAGGAATTATTTCCCTTTAGGAGCCTAACACAGATCTCAGTAACTGCCAGTGAAAGAGTTCTCTGCTTCAGTAATCTTTCAGTAGGTCCCTCTGGCTGTCACCATTTGGCCTGATTTAAGGAGAACAATGCTGCTTCATTATACTTAGTAGTGGAGCTGATACCTGTGCACTAACACCTTTCTCTCTCGGGGAAAAAAAAAGTGCTCAGACACTTTCTTACCGTACCTGCTTTATAGGACGAAGGGAACCAATTACTTTCCAGCCACTGTAATCATTCCAGTTTGAAATCTCACTGGGCTGCAGCAGAATCTGCTTTCCTAAAAAATTACATCCTTCATACGCAATCCACCTGGAGACGGAAAACACAACATGAAAGACCATGTTAGCTATAGCAAAACTAAATCACAGGCTTGTAGTACCATGCTCTTGAAAGCCCCCAAACTCTCCAAGGTAGTGATATACGTCATACTGTATGACAGTGCCCCACATGCCACTCATTTTAGTGATTTAACTGTTTCCTTCTAAAATAAGACCTGTTTTCTGTTTGCGTACCTAAAACTTGCAAACTTTTCATTTTGCCCAAAACTTTCCCCACAAAGATGAAAACCTCTGTCTGAATGAACCCAGAGGGGAATAGCGCAGACACGCATCAGGACAACTAGGAAGCCACACGTCATAGAGTTGCACTTGCAGGCTTTTCATGGTTGTACATTTTACTTATCAGAGGACAAAAACGGATCTTGTCTAATGTTTTATTTTGTTACAGCTAAATAAAACTGCAAACAGCTATTCCACTTGTCTGAAAATACAAACTCCAGTAACTATAAATCGTTGTAACAGAACTTCCTCTAGTGAGCATATCTGGACCATAAACATGGCTGAAACCATTAACAGGAAGCCAAAACACCAGTACATGCAGATCCCTTGCTATTAGGCATCTGCGCCACAGATACTGTGTTGCTGCTTACAAAGGCGGCCTCAGGATCACAGATAGGTTTTGTTTACATCAATAGGACATTGTTGTGCAGACTGTGATGCTAACTGTTTCTCATTAACCCATGCGAACACAAAAAAATACTGTTTTCCCCAGATTACATGTTTTACAGGTCAGCTGCCAAGAACAGGAGGGATGGCTGCACTATTTGTTTAAGCTGGTGAGAAAACATCCACAAACAGCGCTCTCAGGACCTGTAATTTACTTTCCCCATTGCGTGTAATTTGGAGAAACAGGCAGGCATCCTTCCTCAGGACTCCACAGAGGCTAAGAAGTGCAAACAATGAACTACCTTTTAATGAGGTTGTATCACTGTTTCTTCAAATTAAGTCCCATTCCTCCTGGATAACAGCTATTCCGATCAGCCTGACAACCATTGTGCGTTCCTTATAATGCTAACACATTTCTGACTTTTTTTTTTGCAATGCCTTCTGCAAAGTCATTGAGCATTCATAATATCAGTCGCATATGAAACGCGGTTTCTGTTGCCAAAGCAGAACCTCATAGGATACAGCCAGGAGAGAGGGATAGGGCTCTTAAGAGTAGCAATCATCCAAAGCTGGTGTGAGCCGCTGGCATTTGGGAGGACAGATGAAACTACGGCTCGGCTCGGGCTGACACTGTGCCGGCCCCCAGCCCCCTTGCACAAGTCCAGTCTTATGTGGTTTCTTGTGGAAGTGCTCAGCTGGCTCGGGAAGGCTGTACCTTGTACCTAAGCATGGCAGCACGATGCCACTGCATGTAGGTACAGAAATCTTATTCCGTCATTTGTCTCAAGCTGACAAAAGGCTTTGGGACAAGGAGCCAAGAAACCTCTAAATCTGCCTTCCTGAAGTGAATCACAGCTAAGGCAAATCAACCTTTCCAGGATGGCCCACAGATTTCCCACAGTGGCCTGTCCCTCACTCCCTCAATCTTTCGGTTACCCCTTTTCAGAGTGGGGAAAGGCAGGATGTGGAGGTCTCTTTTCTGGAGAAGACTGCCGAGCTCTGAGAAAGGCCAGCTAAGCGACCTAGGGGGGCTGGAGTTCCTGGGAGACGGTGAAAGGCTGCACTGTTGTGCTCGCTCTCCCATGTGTGGCCCCCAAAGGCCCCCCCACCATTGCAGCCCCCTGCACAGGCCCAGGGATTCATCCCCACAGTTGCTGCAGGCAACAGCAGGCACACAGATGAATTTCTGCTGCCACACACCTGAGCAAAAGGTGGAGACAGCTCACCAAGAGACACCCCTGACTGACTGCACTATAGACACAGGTATGAACATGTATACATTCCCCCAAGAAACATCAGGTGTTACTCTCAAAGACAGCTTTCCACCTCCAAACTAGCGTGGATCACGAGGGAAACGTGTGCGCTGCCATCAGCCTCAAACCACAGCTGAGGCACCTCAAAGACAACAGCAGCAGCAGACTGTCTCTAGAAGTATTCAGAAAGGGCTCAGGACCGAAGGGGCACAGATGTCAGGGGCTAGCATTTAGAGCAAAGCAGTGTTGGGGGAGGTTACACTTACCACAGGCTGACAGCTAAGACCCTAGCAACAGACTGCTCTTAACTTACCTTACAAGAAAACGCTTGCGTGAAATTACTGAAAGAAAACAGTCCACAAAGCTCTGGAGCATGAGCTACGTTAGGCTTAGGGGCTCTACTAACTTCAGCTAATCAGAGGAGTACTGAGCAGTGTTATCACAGATAACCACTAGAGAGGTTTCAGCTTTTAGGCAGTAACTGACTAGGCACGTTTGAAAATTCAGCATAGAAAACAGGGATATAAGTAGTGAATTGTCTACATTCATTCCTTGCCCAACTAATTCAAACTTTGCATGGTTTTGTATCATCCCTAAAGAGCTCTCAAGCATATTATAGCCTTATGTGAATGTGGGGAGAAAGGTGAGAAAGGTTAAAAATAAAGAGGAGACGTGCGTTGCTCCTGAGGAGCAGCAGTTTCCAGTCAGTCTCGGTTGCAAGATGAGGCGCTGCAAGCTCTTTGCTGCTGCTGTCTAAGCGGAGGCCTGAAAACTTGGCCCAGACAGACTACACGGGACTTTCTCCAAAAGGCGAAAGGGGGAGGCGGGAAGAGGTTGCAAGGTCACTTCCGCAGACCTAAGATGGTTTTCACAGAAAAGCCCGGCTGTTGATTCACAGTCTCGCGGCGGGGGGGGGGAAAATAAGAACAGAGGCAAATTCCTGCGCCGGCTGCCTGATCCACCCCGAGCTTCTCTCAGAAGTTGCTGCCTCTGTGGCAGCCAAGCAGCACGTGAAGCTTCGCTGAACCACTGCAGTGGTTTATGTTAAATCACTGCAGTTTAGAGCTAGTATTTTACAGCCAGCTAATAAAAGTAGTTTAATCTACCTGTCTTTGTGAGTCAGCAATTGAAACTGGTTTGGCTTTTGGTTCCTGGCTTGAACAAGAGGCCCTAATGTTCCTTAGCGTATAGGATAAAAGGACGACTCTTACATGGGGAAAATATACCCTCTGCCCACCGTATGCCTGTGTTCATCTCAGGTCCTGTACACAAATGGGTCCAGTATTAACTTTCATCAACATTTTAGGATTTCATATTGTTTTCAAAACAAAAGTTACAATGCAAAACACACCCTGTGAAAAAAGGCAGCAATCAAGAGAAAACATATGTTCACTATTAGCTCCTATAATGCAAATGCAATGACAGGAATATGCCTTCCATACTTACAATCCACTTCTCACCCATACGGACTGAGTGTAAAAATGAAGGTCCTCGTTCAGCGCAGAGCGGACAGGTTCGCCGAAGCGTAGCTCTCTGCCCTCGCAGCTTTCCAGAGCAAACAGACTGACGGAGGGCTCAGCAAAAACCTGGCGGGGAGGGAGGGAAAAAAAAGCAAGGTTTTTCTTTTTTAACTCAGAAGAGTCTAACTGCAGTTGTTTGGCATGATTTTGATATGATTTGATATGATTTTCCAGTTTCAGTTTCGCTTCTTCATGTTTTTGGATTACATCACGCTTCTTCAACAAATACAACAGCAAGAAAAAAAATACACTTGTATACCAACAAAGCACACACAGCTGAAACATACTGGATTTATCAGTGGCTTTGTCACCCGAGTATAGTGTCTACTGGCACAAGCCAGACATCGAGTCACTTAGAGGGTGCAGAGTTTGCATTTGGGAAGTCTCTCTATGATCTCGTCTATCATCAGGGCCTTGCTCATTACTCAAAAATCTAGTTTGTTTATTTATCGGCAGAACAGGTTACAGTAGTAGTTTTCAGCATGATCTACAGATTGCTTCTAAAGTAATGAGGCAAACTACAAGCCAGTAGTCTGTAGACTTAAATTAGCTGTTCAGTGGTCTGGTGGAAAAATCTTAGAGATCTGCAGATTCAAAAAAGTTAAAAAACAAACTCAGAATACACAACTATAAAATTCTGCATGCTTGTAACAAACATTCGTATTTTTCTTCTGACAATCCTGAAAAATTAGCACAATTAGTAACCGCTTCAATGCGATGTGGGATTGCAACATTTTTTACTTAATATCTTCCTATACAGCTGAGCTGTTTCCTGTGAAACCAAGTAAGATCAGTTTCCATGGAAGTATAGCGCAGCTGCAGTATGTACAGAAAAGCGCAGGGGAATACATTTAAATACAAAAAGGCCGTGCCGTTAGTACAAGGAAAACTTGTACAGCTTTTCAGCATTTTTTTTTGCAAAAATCATAAGGGAAGTATCATAACCAAAAACTTACATAAGCACTGGTATTTTGTATCTTGACACAGCTGATAAAGGAAGAGGCCACAGGTCTAACTGCTTCAACTAGCAGCTTCTCAGGGCTAGTCACCTCTGCATTCTTCTTAGACGTTACCCTGACACAGCTAGCCCAGCGCTTGCTTTTGCAGCAAAGATATGGCCTCAGGTGAAAAAAAGCATGAATGAAACAAAATCTTGAATTAAAGTTGACATAAGCACTGAGTAATTAAGAAAACATAAATTCATGTTTGAAGAGGCACATATATTGTAGTGAAGTGCCTCTGAAGACGCTCAGTTGTGATTCAGGACTTACAAATTTACTGGCACTGACTCAGTGCACTTGGTATGTTGCTGGTTGTTCAAATCCTGCCTCAGAGAAATTGCTTTCCTCTGCTAACTGGGGCAGGGACAGCGTCCATCGTGCTGAACTCCACGAACAGGGAGTTTGCCGAGACATTTTAAAGAACCACCTGGAATCATCCACCCAGAGAGACTCTGAAAAGCTCATTACATTCCTAAAAAAAACAATCTTACAAAACAGAAGTAGATTAAAATCCATAATATCCTTATTTTAGAATGCCTGGTCTTCCCATGTGCCTTCTGCTGGCTGACACAGGTCAAATTTATGGTGCATGTTTACAGGGTTAAATCTAGACCAGCGGACCCTAGTGCAGGCAGCTACTTCTCAGTAGCTGGGAAGCCCAGCACAGCAGGCTCATCACACTCCGGACTGCAAGAAGCCTGCTCCCCTGGGGTGCCTTCACTGGAGCGGAGACCAGAACACGTCCAACAGGGAAAACTTTCACAACTGAATTAGTAAGCACGAGAAACACCCTTCGGCATCTTTGTAGACGGACACTCTTATGAAAGGCTAAAATTTATCTTGCCATTGCAATATCCAATAAAATCCATTAGAGACAGAGATGCTGTGCTAGAGAGCCAAGTCATCTGAGGTGGCGTATAAACCATTTATAAACCAGGAGTCAGAACAGCAGATCGGCAGAGCCAACTAAACCGACTCGAGCTCTGCCGTGGTTGAGGCTGTTTGACCTTGAAGGGGCTGAGAGCGCGCAGTGAGGCAGTTTGGAGTCGCGGCCTGTCGGCGTGCAGCAGGCAGTACTTGACACCTGCCGCGTGCGCAAGGACTGATACCACCTCAGAAGGACTCCACTGGCCTCGGCACAGAAGTGAAGCACAGAAAAAGAAAACACGTTGCTGTCTCTAGCACTGAAGCTCTCATGTTTCCATAACCATATATAGAGGAATGAGCCGATTATTCACTTTATACCATTTTACACCAACAGCTGGCAGCAGCAACTTGGCCTGGCTTTTTTTCTCCGATTTTGTTTTCATAGCTCCAGGGAAACTACCAACAGTAAATAACTAGGTTTCAAGGCTAAGCCACTATACCTACTACAGACAGACGCATCTTTCTCGCCACTCCTCCTTGCGGAGTGCCGAGGTGCATTTTCATCCATTTTCAGGCTGAAGTGCCATCCTCCATGTCTAGGTCAGGACTGCCCTGGCTGCCTTTCATAGTTATTTCAAGGAAAACATCTCAAATGCCAGCCTTTGTGAAAGGCTTGCCAATTACAGGAACGACAAAGCCCTGAAGAACTCGTTTAGTCTGATCTTTGTGCATTAAGGACTTGTCTTGCTAAAACTAAAACCAATACAGTTTTTAAAAGGTCTTGGTATTTTTTTTTTCTTTTTAATGTCAGTGTTTAGGGAGAAACTTGAAGAGATTTGACATGTTAAAGAGGCCAGCGATTAAGGAAGGCTATATTTACATAGTATTTAACAGTGAACTGTTAAACACAAAGATATTCTTTACTTAACAGGTGGGGTAGTCTATGGTTAATATACTACATGATGCAATGATAACGACAACGCTTTTTTCTCCTCTCCACAGTGTGATTTCAGGGCCTGAAAGTTAAGCCATGGAAAGCAAATGGTAAAATCTCTTGCACAGTTCACCTCAGCTCAAACCTAGCTCTCTGACTTCCACCTTCATTTGACACAGAGAAGCCATGCACTAGGCATTTGTCACAATTCAGAATGGAGTTTTAGATTTTCTCAGTTCAGGAAATAAATGCAAGCAAGCCAGAAGAATTTCATATTAAACAAAGATTAACGCAAGATGAGTGTCCTTTCAAGGCTCAGATGCTTGCACCACTGAAAAGAAATACAGTGCAGAGACACACAAAAGCTAACCAAGAGGGGCTACAACTGAAAACCAGGTGAATTCACACACACGGTTTTAATAAAAACAAGTATAATTTTACTCTGCAATTATGGACAACGTATAGATAATTTTTCATTATGATTTTTATGAAAGTTATTGCTAATCATCCCAACTGGAGAAGGGCTCACCCCAAAACATTCTTTTCCTCACACATGTTTTTGCAATCTTAGGTTTTGCAGACTTCAATTAGAAAGCCTAATGAAAGTAAAGCAAGAAATCCAAGTAACTTATACGGGGCCAGACGAAAGCACGACTGCAACCCACTCCTGGCATGGGTTGGTGCGCTTCCCACCTCCTGTCCGCGCTGCCTGGCTGCAATGCAGACGGCATTCACCAGAGCTTAACTGGAGCTTCAATACTGGAGCTGTGCTACAATATCCCTGCAAAAATCCTTACTCTTCAGTCTTGGCCTTTGCAACGTATTATTCACAGCCGTCCTCACTGAAGTTGTGCTTGCCTGGCTACTCCCTTCAGTGTGGGAAGGATGCCTGGCTGCGGGGAATGAAGCCTGGGCAGGGATACAGCAACACCCAAGGTCCAGTCCCAGCTGAACCAAATGACTCATTGCCTGGCCCTGGGAAACGCCAATTAATTTTTGTATCTGATTTTATTATTTACTTCACAGGAATGCTGGAAAGATTAGTTAACACCTGTTTTTAACTTAGGAAAGATAAGCTACATAGAAATATAGGAACTGACACGAATGAGCAGAGGACGAGTAAGGAACGCCTCAGGAAAAAAAAAAAAAAAAAAGTTGCACAACCTACAACCCCAGATCTCATTTAGAAATTATGAGACTGGTTTAACTTTAACTCTGAAGTTAACATTTTACAAGGAAGATTAATTGTTCACTGCAACAATCCTGGATATTCTTATCCATACAACTTACACCAAATAACATGGGGAGTCTTACAAAAATAACATGCCTGACAAAAGGCAGAACTAAAGCTGAATTCCACTTTGAAAGAACATCTCAAAAGGGTCTCCATCCCAAAAGATGGATGGCAAATATTTTTCCAGTGACCCACACCAGACAGACAACGCGACAAGGAACCGTGGCCGCAGGAAGGGCCCGGCTGTGTTTTTGGGCACCCTGGTGCAGTGCTGGGCTGGCGCACACTCCCCTTCTCACCGCTTCTTGGCGCAGCCCCAGCCGAGTCCTTGCTGACTGCAGGGCAGGGAAACCTGCGCTTCTGCGGCCAGCGCAGACCGATCCTTGCATAGCCCGTACAATGATTCTACCTGCCTGTACGGTGGATATTAACGTTAATCCCAGGGAATTTCATCATCGAGCACTTCTTGAGTGCTTTGGGATTTCCAGATGAAAGGAGACAATGACAGCCAAGCTTTGAACGTTCCTACTGCTACCACATTGATACGTACCCTTTAAACGTAAGTTGTATTGCTGCCTGTTCACTTAGAAATATGTTATTGTGAGATGCACCTTCCAGCATTCTTTCCCCACTTACAAAACAGGCCACTAAAAAGACCTCTCGGACTTCCAGAAGCAGCCCTCTCCAGAACAGCATAGGCCGTATAATGCATTGCTATTCAATTTACAATCCAACTTTGCACGCGGGTATTGCAATGCTGTTTTTCTTCCCAGGCTACTGAAAACAAAGGATATCTTTTTCTTGTTTTCAAGCTACGGATATGCTTATTACCTCCTGGCTAACCTCTCATTAACCCTTGGGTTTTCCTAAAAATTCCCAGGACACCACAGTGCAGTCTGAATTTGAGGGAAACGGAACAGCAGGGAAAAAAAATACAGGTAGGACCTCATAAACATTTACTTTGAGTATTATGTGCTTCAGGGACTAAGCCAAGAGGGGAGAGAGGTTCCTGTAACCATTTCTTGCCTTCTTCTCTGACGACAGTAGAAAGAGGGGCAAACACTGGGAGATAAATTTCAGTCTCTCAATTCAATTTAGGGTATTTCAAAAACATGCCTTACATTAACACAGCTCAATCCATCCAAGTCTGAAGAAGAGGGAAAAAAAAAAAAAAACAAAAAAACACGTCCATACCACCATCCACCACACTCTCAGGACTGAAACAGCACTGCCCTGGCGTTCAGAGAACACTTTCCCTGCTCCCTTTATGAGCTCAGATTAAGTTTTGCTTTGCTACTTCCTGAAAAAACAGCAGAGGAAACTTTGTTTCCAAACATGTACTTAATTCCTCTACCATGGCAGGACATAAATGGAAGTGGAATTACATTAATTTGAACTTTGTGAAAAACGTGGGGGGAGGGAGAAGACATGGTAGTATGTCATGCTTAAACAAAGAAAACTTAGCTTTTCAGCTCACAAAGAACATCCTTGCAAGAGGTAACGTTAGAACAAGAGTCAGCCAATCCAGAACACTGTGACAGTAATCAGACTATCCCTAGTCAAGATTGTTTTCCTATCCAAAGTCATTACGTGTTGCTCTGAAAGTTTTTTTTTTCTAATTGTCCTAGCTCAGCGATTTAGAATGACATTTTTTGTTTTATTATGTGATTAAGCTCTTAAACAAACAAACTATATTTCTGGCAGTTTTCAAAATAAAATCTCAAAGTTTACTTTTCTAAAAAAAAAAAAAATCTTATTTTCCTCCAATAAAACTGTTTGCTAAATGGGGTTTAAGTCAGCAAAATATTTTGTTTGCATCAAAACTGCATTTTCCTGAGAAAAAAAACTATTCACTCAAATCCTCTCCTTAATTTCAATCGGTCAATCTATTTTCAAAACGAAAAACAAAACACAAAAGACCCAAGGGAATAGATGTTTTTACCGGTTCATATAGACTAAGGCATTACTGTTATCTTACTCTATCACAAAAATCCTACCACCACCTTACAATATTGTTCCATAGGGTCATAAAAACGTGGCCATGCTAGAAGAGAATCCTACAAATATGTAATTTTATTCCTCAAATCCTCCTTTTGAAATGGAGAGCCTAGAAATCTAGTGGCAGCCAACAATATCCCAGAAGACCCCTCAAACTTGTGCTTCAATACAATTTTTTGAATTCTCACTTAAGTTGTTGCCACATGGAAGACAGTCCTTCTAGCTACCAAAACAGATGGAAATAGAAAGGACATTACAATTCGGGGTCAGGTATAGAAAGCAATGTCGATACCAGACCATGCTGGACACCCTCCAGGTGTCACTGACCTTTGGAGTTAGCCCCATGCAAAGAAATTATATCCTTACATGCATACTGCAGATGAGCGCCCAAAGCTTCAATTTTACTTAGTTGCACAGTGCAAATATAACACGTAATTAATTCTCAATTCATTCCAACCTGGCAAATTAGAAAGGCGACGCTCAGATCCTGTGTTTCACCCAGCAAATTTGCTCTCTTGTTGCAGAGGACTGGTTGAAATGATCTACTTCAAAAAATTACAGCTGGACCCCATCTACACCAGTGAATGGCCTTAGACTCTTTTCAAAGGTTGGTAATGAATTAACATTACCTCTCTAGGTAATGGCTAGAATCCTTCGTATTGCTATTTTTCCCTCTGCAAGCGCCACACACTCCACACCCTACTTCTAGTCAACATCTGAGATGTAGAAACATCACACATTGAAGCAATGCATGTTCCCCAGTCCGAGAGTCCTTTCAACAGCTACTCTCGCAGCAGATACATTTCACAGGAGGGCAGGCGACAAAGCAAGTTCAGGGCTTGATGTCAGGGTTAACCATTCTCCCTCATATGTGGGAATTATTGAGATACACACCTTAGGTCTGAAATTGGTCTGTTATTAAAGCTGAACAATGGAAGAGTTCCCAATGGCACAATAGAATTCAATAAAGCTATCCAACAGTTTAATTTGGAAATATGCTTGCTGCTCTTTTGAATGAGCTAACAGAAATGTCTTGCAAGAAAAAGGGCTCTGTTCCAAGAACAGTGCATTGCGGACAATGCACAGAACTAACCACAGCTGTTTCTGACCGCTGACCAAACGTACCGCTTGTGTGCTTAACATCACGTCTGTACCAAACAATGCCTCTGAAAACTACCCCGAGCGGTTAGCACACACAATGTGTTAGAGGCCGATGAGTGCATTTCTATTTGTAAAACAGGTGTGGTTCCATAGCATTTTAATCCATTTAACTTTAATGTCTGCATTTTGTGAAATACAAGGGCTCCTATTTGCAAGAGAGGATCTGAACTAGAGGTGCAAGCCACTAGTAAAGTACAAGAAGATGTGCGTAAGCTTCCCACACAGCCTGCCAAACGCACCTCTCCCAGGGCTTGGCCCTCAGTGATCAACAGTATCCTCCTCTGCAGAGCTGCATGGTTCCTTCCCTGTGAGATTAGAGACTGGAGGATTTGGACGAGACCTATCATTTCATGTCAAAACTTCATTCTGAATTAGCAGAGCAGAGTCCAGCAACCTAAGGTGAAAAGCAGATTTTTAATCTGAAAGCCAGGCTCTCAGTAGGTGAAAAGATATAGCTCTACTGAAGTCAAGGCAACTACGTCTGTTTATCCTAGCAGAGGGAACAGCTCTCAGCCTTGAGGCATACATCCTTCCCACCATGTGAGTGGCTTTTGGTGTGTTTTTAAAACCTGCTCACAAACAGAAGGACTTTAATACTTGAAGGAAATTGTGAACCTAGTAATTTTTAAAGCCTGGTTTTGTAAGAGTTACAACAAAGGGCAAACATCACATGGACTGAGTTTGTTTTCTGTGACCAGGGAAGCAGGAAGAGTTTTGGAGAAGTTAGCCAGTGCTCCAGAGGAGCGGGCACAGCAGCTGTTTGCTTCCGTTTTACTGAAAGCCTTATGGTCAGCTTATATGTCTTTTGCAGAGGAGCACACTGAGATATGGGACAAAGGCACAGACATGACAACAAGACTTCAGATACATCCATCATGTGCGCGGAAGAATTACAGCAGGATCCAAAAAGCTAAACCTATCTTGTGCTGGATAGTACACTGTACTCATATCCAGTTTCCTGGTCATAAATGACCTCTTATCTCACCTCTCTGCTACAATAGGTCATTCGATCGTAGGCACAGATGTGTGCTTGGGTATCATATTCAATGTCACCCGAAAGTCACGTGAAGGTAGCGTGCATGTGTAATAAGGGCTTGTCCTACATCTTAGAAGTCACCAAGAAAGAGGATGGCCAGAAATGAGCTTGGACCAAACTATGTGATGTGTCATACCCGGCTCACAGGCCTGTGGTCTGTGGTATATTATATATTGTTATTTATTGACCCATAATTTGAAATTCATTGGGAGGTACAAACCTTTTTACATATTTCTGCAAAATAGTTAGTAAATTAAACAGTATTATATTTGCTACCTTGTAGTTCCATTTTTTTTTGTATCTCTTCAGTATGTACTTTGCTTTAAGACCGAACCTTGGCTGCAGAAGGTTGAATAAAAGCAGCCCCATATGCTAAGAGGGCATGACAGAAAGCAATATCACACTGCATACTAAGCTTGCTGAGCTGTTTTAGAAAACCAGTCAGAAAAGCACCAATCAATCCAACTTACACAAAACAGAGCACACAAGCACGCAAACCTGCACGCAGAGCATGTGCTTACACGCGAATACATGCATGTGTGCACGCAGCCTGACCTGCTCCAAACTCCAAATCTCATAAGCCAAGAACAGAGTTCACTCCTTTCCCCAACTGGGAGTTTGCTTAGTGCAATCCCTTGCTTCAGGCATCTGACTAGGAAAAGAGTTCCAAAATGTTTTTTTTTTTTCAGGCAAGTCCTTACATATTCAATAGGCTTGAGGGATTTGATTGTAGCGGTGGGGCAGCCACAGGAAGTGAGGTCAGTGTAGAGGCCTTCTTCCAGCACACAATGATTGTCAGTAATTTCCCCTTGGTAATACAGGAGCCAACTGTAAGAATAATGTAACAAAAAAAAAAAAGTAACTCTTCTAGCTACTTATTGACAGCAAGCTTTTTCAAGATTTAATACTTTCTAAGAGAATAAGGAATAAAAACTTGGTTTTGTTATGGTTAAAAGCAAGGTGAATTGAAAGGCTGTGTGACAAAGTCGTCAAAGCAGAAAAATCAAATCACGTGGTACAGAAATATCAGTTCTGGCATCAAATGGCAATAATGGAATGTAAATACTTTTACTGAGTTCCTAAAATCTGGAATAAATTCTAACTGAAGCTAAAAAAAAAAAAAAAATCACAGTAACTGTAAAATTCCCACAGGAAAAGCAAAATGCAAAATACCCAAATCAACAAGACAACAGCTACTGAGATACATTGCAAGACAAGGCTCTAAGACACAATGGAATACGATGCACTTTTGACTATCTGAAACTTAGTAGAAATAAAAAAAATAACCCTGAAAATGGTGGCATGTAAAACAACAGACTTACCATCCCCGAAGAACCTTAAAAGAACATGGTATGAATGATGTAAAATCAGAAACTTCTGCTGTGAAATCTATACATGCTCCTTGGAAATGTGTATTACTGAAAGCTTTGAGCTACAAGAACAAAACAAAACAAAACCAATGACTAGAAGGGAAGCAAACTCATTATCATTAACGTAAACAGAGATAGCTGTAGTCTTAGAGAAATATCCATTCAATTCGCAAAGACGCAGTAAGTGGAACGAATTCTCAGCAAAGGAATCTTTTACATTTCCACAGCTGCTTTCCTTTTAGAAAGATCTTGTGTTACATAGCCTTTGGGCCAGATTCTGAATGCTGCCCAAAGATGCAGGGATAGCAAGCCTAAGTTCAACTGCGACAGGAGTGACGCAAACACTGAGGGATGTTGTCCTCCATGGCAGGTACCTCTGAACTGCAGCTAACCCTCGGCAGAGCTCAGCAATCCACTGCTCCAAACAAGAAGTAGCGAGGGTCAAAAGATGAGGGGAACTGCTGAAGACGTACTGTGAAGTCTTCTGCAACTGCAATGACTGCAGGCAGTTTGTCATTCAGAAACTAGCAGATTTCTGGGGGAACTGAGTACAGACCGGCAGGTGCACTATGAACTTCTGAATTTAACTAAGCTGTTCTTACATGTCTTAGCAAAGAACTTGAAGCCACATTGAACTATGTCCCATCAATAAGATGCGTTCAACTCACCCTGGAAGTCAAGATGGTTGAAAGTGCTGAATTAAAAATATTTGTATGTGTACATATATAGTATGATACAGCTCACAATCTTTAGTGAAACAACTGAGAATTCAGCACCCTTGGGCTGCCACTGAAGTGAATTTCACTTTAAAGTCTGAGAAATGAGCTGGAAGAGAATGAAAAATTTAACTACATCAAGAAAATAGCTCATGTTCTGTATTGGAAGAAAACACTATGGCTGTTGCAAGAGCTGCTTCCCCCTTCATGCCCCAAATTGGCCTAGCTTCCTGCCAAGGAAAAGAAATCAAATGCTTTTGCCAACACAGACTGAGAAGGCCAAACATAAATATTAGCAAGTGATTTTATGGAAAAGCTCAGTCTATGTTTTGAAAAGAAATGAGTACATTTCCTGTCAGAAAGAACAAGAAAGATTTAATCTGGCCTTGCATGATAGAACTGCAAACTGGAAAACACAAACCAGCTACAATATGACGGATAAAGCATAACTGATTTTTCTGTAAATGTAATTGCACTTCTATGTCACAAAGCATCTACTTGAGCTTTAATTGCGTGGTATTTTTACCCACTTATATCAAATCACTTTATAAAGGAATATATATAATGCCTTTTCTTCATAGAGCCTTTTTAAGTGTTGCATAGCATCTAGCCTATCACTCATTTTTATACAGGCTATATCAAATTATGAACGATGGTTATTTGATAAAACCTGGGATAAAACACTGACTCCTCAATGACAACACTGCATAACTGCAACTACCCTCCAACTGCAGCTATCTGTACTTTACCAAGGCTTGACATTACTAAACGTCATTTCATTTCCCGAAAAGTCAATGGACAATATGTTCAAAATACAAACAACACAAGTTATCCCAGCAGTCATCTCTGCTTCCTAAATTTTCTGTATAAGTCAACTGCTTTGTTTTCGCTGGGCAACACACTTTTTTTTAATACATAAAATTAAAAGCTTTTTAGAGTTGCTAACTTCAAACAATGTTGTACTTCATTTATAAGCAATTCTGGCAGGAGTAAGACGTTAGGGTTGTTACTGGAAGTTGTCAGAACTGAGCTTTTTAAGCTAAAGAGCAACTGGAAATAACGGTAAGTTAAAAAAGACACTCATCTAGATAGTGAGCATGGTTCCCTTAATTCAGGTGGGAGAACGTGTGGAGAAGCGTTCAAAAATACCTGGGGTACGGCTTGTGTAAGGATCAAACAACAGGATGTTTAAGGATGTGCCAGCTCATATGCACCATGTTTTGAAGTTCCAGACTAAGAGACTGCCACGTATATGGAAAGTGCTTTATTTAACTTTTAATAGGAAATTTGATATTTCTCTGAAACACTGTCCTCTACTTATCCTAAGTGATTACACGTTTCCCCACAAAAACTTACAATAAAATATTTCACCTCCTACAAGAACTGTGTCAATACGATGTTCTTCCTTCCTAAACTTTAGAGAAAAATCCTACGAAAATCAAGACTGTGATAAGGTCAATTTTTAGAAGTATCTTCCTGACATAAGACTGCTATCAGAGAACACAACAGGCAAAACACAACCTGGTATATGCCAGTATTTATACGTGAGTGCGTACATGCGGGTGCATGTGTGTCAATATGTAAGTATACATACATACATAGATATAAAGAGATGTATTTATTGACATATCACTGGAAATCAGTAAGGCCCTGCAAAGGCATAATTAATTGAAACTTCAAAGGTTTTAAAAGGAACCCAGCCTCGATGTTCTTAATTGTCTGCATCTTAAAGGAATGCAAAATTGGCTTAAAGCACTCAAAAAATAGTTTTTGAAACACCCTGAAAAAGTTGAAGAGTTGAAGATTGAGGGGAAAAAAAATATCTGTGACTGTTAGGATCCCACCGATTTCATCCAAGTCAGCTATTTTATTTGGTATCCTTTACCAAGGCCTCATTGTGAAAATACTTAAAAGTCTTTGGATTTGGCCACAAACTACCGTATGAATAGGTTTGGCAGGAAATCAGTGTTTAAGACTGAAATAATACACCAATTATGTCTTCAGGCAGGAAACATTTCCTGTAGTCCTGGGTTAATCGTAAAATGTTAGAACTAAAACACACTTAGAGAAAAAGAAGGGGTGTGGTCAACCTGCGCTAACTATCACAATGTTTATATTTCCCATGCGCTTATGACATTTATTCTCAAAGCAAGAGAGACTAAAAATTATGTCCAGATGGCAAAATACTTAACCACAACAAGGAAAAGAAAGAAAACAAACTACAAATACAGAAATCGAGGAGCGCCCTGCAGAAAGAGAACACTGTTGGAGACAAGGACCACGCTTGGCAATGAGCACAAACATTTAGAGCAGGTTTTGGATTGAGAGATACCAGAAAGGTAAGTTAATGGAACATAACCTTACAAGATAAGGACCACAAGCGCACAATCCTGAACTCACTCATTTTTTTTTAAAACCAAAAGCAAATTATAGCAACCTCTTTCTCTTTATAAATTGCCACCTAATGAGACACAACTTTCAGGGAAATTGTTAGAATGTATCATAGAAGAGATTTATCACAGATCTGCGATAACCAGAACATGTCTAGTTAAGGTTAGTGCGAGGGAAAGGGAAGCGTGGAGCAAGTTGGGACCTACTTCTAGGGGCTATACACTTTTGGAAGACTATTCAAAGCTGAACTACCAACATACAAGATCTCCTGTTGATAGATCTGCAGCTTTGAAGAGTGCAGTTCAATTTTCTGCAGTTTATACTTTGTTAACCTTCACCTCATAAATAAACAAAATAATGACAAATCAGATGTAACACAAGAGAACGGAAAGAATATATGTCATACAGAGAGATAAACGCACATGATAGCAAGTTTCCAGAAACAGAAAGGCAAGCATAGGAAAATAAATAGCTATAAAGATCCAGAGTCACTCAAAACCCACTAAAGTGCTTGCATTTTTGAGGACAGAACACTAAAGGGTGTGATCTGGACTAAAACAAAGAATAAAACATTGGTAAACTTAGTCTTTACACATCTACCAGTTTCCTCAAGCAATGCTCTGCTCTGTGGAGATGATAATACTGATGAGAATTCACCCAAAGTAACAAAGCAGGAAATTCAGCATTACCCGTGTTTAAACATTAAATGTTTAGTACAAGAGACGGTTATGTAACGTGAACATACCAAATGCGGAGGCTCATTTGTTCCAAGTGGTTCCTGCAATAATACATACATACATACAAACAAATAAATAAAATTAACCACAATTAGCTCCCTAGAAGATACATCAAGTTTCTGAAATTTGTTAATTAAGAATTCAAAATCAGAAAGACACATTTCCTATGCTCTTGGTACATTTTTCTTCCCCCAGCCTCTTCCATCAGCTGCCTATATGTTCATGGCTACCTCCCTGGTTATTCAGTCCTTTTCCACATACAAAAGTCGCATCAATATTAATTAGCTCTTATAATATAGATTAGAGTCCATATAAATTTCTTTGCATTTATTTTTAAGTCTATTTCTTAAAAGAAAGATAATTCAAGAGGACAGGAGACTGAGGCACATCTTCTGACAAGGACACTTCAAAATAACGTTGAGCGTTTTGTTCCTTTTCTATTTTCAATGCAGTAGCATCATTTGTTATATACTCATTACTGGGGATTTTCTCTTTTGCATTAAGTTTTTAACAGCTCTGAAGCTAATCGACTTGGGCAAGTTGCACCATTTTGATTTAATAATGGATTTAAAATATTTCCTGCTTTATATTTATTATACATTACAAATATTTTAGTAAAAGATTTTTTTTTTCTTTTTTAGAAAAAAATCAGAGTCCTGCTATACAGGAATAATATAGGATAGATACACTTTCAAGTATTTTTAAATCTATTATCAATTAGGCATTAGGAAGTTACTGTATTTTATGATAAATTAATCCTTCCAGATCAAGGTATCCCTTTTCATGAAGGCAGTCTGCCAAAAGGAAGTTCTCCTCATGAAATTTCCCTGGCAATTTTTTCATTAACAGATAGAAAGATGTAGAGTTTGCATTTCAGAAAAAAGAAATTTGTTCTCCATACTGAACAGAATCATTTTGTGTCAGTCCACAAAGATCTTTAACTTGTCACCAAGTGAATAGGCAAATTGATTAAACAGCATAGCTGACAGTATAACGTTGCTGTAGTCTCAGAACTCCAAAGGTCCTGTTTCTTTGAAGTTTTCCCCTTACAAATTCTGGTAACTCACCAACTTAACCGGACGAATTGACATGACGATTTTATCGGATCCTCCCCAATCAAGGAAACACTTGTATTTTCCTTTCTCCAGTACATATTGTTTTCCACAGAAATACTTCTGTTGATAGGCAACCCACCTGGAGAATGACATAAAAAGTAAACTTGAGACATCATATTTTTCTGTGCCGTTTGACAGAAATATTAATGAGTTAAACAGAAAAATTTTCTGTAGAGTTTTTACATGCTGAGTCAATGTGACAGACAATATAGCATCAAACCTGATAAGAAGCACGTAATTCTCACACCTCTGATTTTCTGCTTATACTTTGCAAACATTACTTTAAGAAACAAACACGTTAGGTCTCTACCTTCCATCAAATATATTTTCAGCATGAGCTGATGCATTGCTTAGAAGCCCAAAGGAAAGATACTTGATTGACAAGTTACTGAACCTCTCTCAGCTCAATTTTTACCTGTTCAGCATCCTCCCGGATAGGGCTTTCTTCCAACTTCTCTAATGGGATTTCTTTAAGAAAAACGGTATAAGAAGAAAGAGAAACAAACGCAGAAGCCTTGACAGGATGAGATAAGGATAAAAGCTCGCAATGGCTGGCAATTCAAACTTCTCCCACCCTGCTTCCCCTGACACAATTTAGGAACATAAGAAACACCCCACGGTGTGGAACCGATGGTCCCCGGGCTGTCTGCATCACGCTGGCTCTGGCAGCAGCCAAAGTACATTGAGGCTAGCTTGGGAGAAGACGCTAACCTAGGCACTTTCTGGGGTCCATTCCTCTCTTAGTTTCCCAGCATCCAGGGCTGATGTAATAGGGATGCTAGAAGGCATCTCCTTGCCTAGTGCTTTCATCTGGTTGCCATGAATTTGTCTAATCCTTTTTTTGAACCTCCTCATGCTGTCTGCTCCCACAGCTGCCTCTGGCAGTAAGTTCCAGAAATCCACTACACTTCTCTCTAAGAAAGGTTTATAAGCTTCCCCCCCCCCGCCCCACACATCTGTTTTACTTCTAATCTTCAACTGCTTTTGTAAAGCATCCCCTAATTACTGTACTACAGGATTTTGAACATTTCTGCATTAAGCTTGTCCACTACCTTCAGAATTTTGTAAATCTCAATTTTATCCCTCCTGTCAGAGTAGGGTTTATTGTCAGTCACACCTCCTTAGCCTTCTCTTCTCCAAACTGAAGAGCTCCAGCCTTTCTAGTTCCTCTGTTACACAGCAACTGCTCCACTCCTCTGATCGTTGCTTTTCTTTGCATCATCTCTGCTTCCACTATGTTCTTCTTGAGATACAGAAAGTGGAACTACATGTAATATTAGAGATGCAGGTGCCACAGAGTTTTACAAAGTGCAAAGCAACATCCTCTGTCCTGGCTGTTGTCCTCAATACCTCTTCCTCCCAATACCCATGATTTTGCTGACTTCTCTTGCTGCCACTGCATATCAAGTCAATTATTTCAGAGCTGTCAACGATGATTCCAAAAAAAAAAACCCCATTCCTGAGTTAGAACTCTCAGTTCTCAATTTAGCACATTTTACATTACTTTTTGCTACATGTATTACCATACATTTATCGACACTGAAGCATTCTGCTACCTTTTTTCCTGCTCAATTTTATGAGATTCCTCTGGAGTTCCTCACCATTGGCAAGGCCTTTGACTACCCAGAACTGCAGTCTTGGAGATTTCAGTGTTTGCTTCCCTTTTCTACATTATTGAAGTTTCCTGAATAAAATCATTAAAAATATGATCGAATAAAACCATATCCATCACCTGTCCCTAAGAAACACCACTGATGACTCTTCTCCATCCTTAAAAGCACACATTATACACCTATAGTTTTCTTCCTCTTCTTTAGCCAACTTTCAGCCCATACAAGAACTTTTCTTCCAATTTTGTGCAACCTAGTTTCTTTAATAAACTCTGGTTTTGGTCAAAGGAATTAGAGAGGGGGGGAAAGAGAGAGGGGGGAGATTCAGAGAAGACAGTGTGGTACTTTCTTCTTTTACCAAGGAAAGAGAAAGAAACACATTCTCCTACCATTGTTTACCATCATCTTCTGTATCACATGAAATATATTCCGTCAAAGACGCTACCTAAAAACGGCTCTGCACAAAAATGTCACTTAATACTTCCATTCACGTATTTTGGTAGACTTACACTCCGCTTCTCACAAGAATCGACCTTGTCTCTGGGCCAAATCCAGCCTGCTCCAAATCAGGAATTTCTTCATTGATGATGTCCAATGCTTTCCCATCTTCATCATCAGACTGAAAAAGTGTCACTGATGACTCTATGAAATCCTAAGAGGCAGCACAGGAGTTAGGAGACAGGCTGTCACAGTTCAGTAACACTTCACAACGTAAAACGTTTTGGAAAAAGAGTTGTAGCCTGAGAGATAAAATTTAAAAAACAATCAAGTCCCTTGCCTGCATCTTTAAGGGAAATTTAGATGTTAAAGAGCCTAACTGAAAGCCTGTCAATTTATGCATCCTGATATTACCTGCAGTGGTTTCCAGAGAGAAAGACTGATGATTGAGCAGCGACCTTCCAACAGGTTCATAAATGATCACTCCAAGCATTTTCCATGACTTTTACATCAACCTTTTACAAGTAACCTTTGTAAGGTTACATGTACCACATGTAACCTTTTACATCAAGTTTTCCTCCCCTTCCCAGTGACAAGGCATAATCAGAGACAGGACAAGACTTGGCAACACCTTGGCAGGTATAGATCATTTTTCCACCACGAAGGGTTTGTAGTTTTTGGACACATCCATATTAGAACTGATCACTATAGCAATAAAATAACTTCCATATCACTTCCTCGTATTCTCTCTTGTATAGCTGGGTGACACTGCTTTACGTTTTGAGCTGGCGTAGTTGCTTAACTGAATTAAGTGCATAGCTTTATATTATTTAAATTCAAGTTTCACATATCCAACTTTTTAACCACTTGGCAATTTTAAGCACACAGTTCATTCACTGTTTGGGAAAACAAAGAACACCAGTTTGTTCACTTTGTCGGGTGAACCCTTTCACAGGCTCTGTAAGGGAGACCATGCCATTGTAGAGGATTCAGTCATGATGAACACCGATTTAAGAACGAACACAATGCGGCTCAACCTCACTGCATCTTTCACAGGAAACCAAAAAGTCACAACACAGATTCTGTAGTAAAACTGTTCCCCCTGTCAACTAGACAATCTGTTTCATTCGTTTATTTGAAAAATTGTACCTATCCCAGCTATACATTAGAAATGAAAGTGCCAGGCCTCGTTAAATCATTAAAAATAACCACTGTTTCAGACTACTTTTTAGAGAATAAAACTCTTAATGCAGGTTTAGTGCAAATGAAACCCAACTGACCTAACAGTCCTAAAGTAAGAGTAAGAGCTCCTGAGAAGCCATTTAGATCAACTCTATACACGATCTAACTAAATTTAAAATAATGAAACATGCCCACAACTGGAATTATATTTGAAACACGTTTCAAATTCAGTTGTTGTTTTTCCTCCCTTAATTTTCACTGCAGCTCGTAGTTCAATAAGCAACGTGAGAAATACTTAATAATGGACTTTCAAGATAAAGGCAGAAAAAGAAAATATTAGTGGGAAAACACTGAAGACAACATATTCAGCTCCACTGAAGCAGATTCAGAATCTTTGCACTTGCTCTGCCCACAATAAAACCACTGGCAAACACCAGCTCAACAGATTCTCCCCCTTGACACGCTGCATGAGAAAACGGTGAGTGCAACTGGCCCCCAAACCAGCACACAGTACAAATTGTTGTCCTCCCTCAGGAACATGCCCTGTATTGGACTCCAGTGTATCCACTATAGATGCCAATAACAGAGCTGGCAGATTAAATTCATGCCTCAGCCTCAGTCGCAGTTATTGGTGTGCATACAGCAACATGGCTGGGATTTTTTTTTAAAGTGTTAATAAGCTCTCCAGGAACCTGTAATGTTAAGAATTGTGGCGCAGGAACACCTGACTAGCTTTGCATAGCACTAACCCATGTCCGTCAGAGCTGGTACCGACACAGCTCTAATAAAGCATGCTATACCCACCCTGGCTCTCTGCAGCACCATTTATGTGCTTCTGTACCGCTCTCCTGGCTTCAGGAGCGCAGTGCAAAGACATTTGATCTGACTCTGCCTGGAGCTGACTCAGGGCTCATTAGCCTGAGCTTCATGCCACGTGAGCCAGGCTAAATTGCTTCCAGGCCTGAGCTGGCCTTAAAGCCAACAGAGTCACGGCCACCTGACGCCATCGCTGAGCAAAAAAGGCCTTGCTGAACCTGAACTGCCTTTGAATGAGACAACCCTGGTGAGTATCCATAAATAGCAGGGTCAATTCCCAACGCCAATTCCTATGTAAACTGCCCACAAGTAATGCAAGTTGGATACATTTCACAAATTCCTTTATCCTCTATAGAAACTTCTGAATTCATCCAACTAAAACAGAATTTCCAGCCAAGAAAAATAAAGGTGAGGTATCCATTAACAGCCACCACTCCCATTGACACTGACACCATCACATCACACCATCACCTTACCTCACTTATATTTAGAGACTTCCAGAGAGGATGGGAGAACTGCTAGTATGTCCGTTGTGCAGCTAGGGACCTGAAGCACAAAGAACTAGTTTGGGGCTTTTGTGCAGGCCCCCTCAAAACCAAGAAGAGTTTGGAACCAAAATGTTTTTAAAACCCTGGCCTTAAGCAGTGTACACAAGGTCGCAAAGTGAGTGTGCGGTAGGCCTGGACACTGATCCACGTGTTGTATGTCAGAGAATCACGGTCAAGCTGTTGGTCAAGTCAAACAACAAAATGCCGCTGCCATTAGTCATTTTATTGATGCCGGTTACAACTATCTCTTCCTTTAGCCAAGATACAATTTGAGGAAAGGTATTACTTATGCTTTTATTAATATTTATATGTTTTGAATGACATGTTGATGTATGAACGATACATGTTTTTAAGATGTTAGTTTTAATGAGTTGAGCATCCTGACTGTTCTAGGCTTGAGTCAAATCAAATGTAGGCGTATAAGTGGAAGGTCACCCCTACTAAACAAGGGTATAACTAAGCTGGCAATTACATCATTTGCTGAATGTAGGCTTTAAAGTGATCAATTACATTATTCAAGCATCCTAGGTATAATTTGAAAGGTAAGAAAGGTTAAGATTAGTCAGTAGTTGAATGGGAACCTGCCCATTCTAAACAAAGAGTCAGAAGAAAATTCCTGCCTGTTCTTCTCAGAAATCTGAAAATAAATTAAAAATAAATTCTAATCATTTAGAAAGGGACATGGTATTTTTCTTCAGTTCAGTGAATTCTCCTACCTTAATTTTAAGTTATATCATAAATGCTGATTATATAGTGTTTTCTAGGTGCCTTTCCTAGAATCAAAACTGGAAATTCTGAGTTTAAGCATAGTTTATTCTTGTTCTCATTACCTACTTTTGTTATAAGGATTGACAAGGCAACGAGTTTGCTTTAAAGGTCTGTCTTCAAACCTCAGAAAATTCCTGGCTTAGGAATATCACATCACAATCAAGAAGACTGTGTAATCTCATAGCCAACAATCTAATTCTCAAAATGAGCCACTCTTAGCAGTTCCTTTTAAAGCTCATAGAGTTAATTTTATAATAATAAAAACAATAATAATAATAAAACAAGCTACCATAGGAAATAATAAAATCAGTTGTAATCCCATGTTTCCCCGTCATTCAGAAGACTAAGATTGCTTCCAATACTGGATGCTGGTAGAGTTTTTGTTATTATCTCATCATTGCCCCCACTAAACACTTCAGTAGCAGAGGTTTTCTCAACATGGTAATTTTTGCTGCCAAAATTTTCTGGCACAAAAATCAGAGACAGAGGGTAATGCTGTTTTAAGGCTTGCAACAGCTGTTGTGTTGAACAGCTATTTTTATTTTAATAGAGAACTACACTATGCATTTACGCATGTTAAAGTTTAAGAAAATTCATTCTAGAGCTTTGAACAGCTTGAAGTGCAGAAGTGAGACACCTGGAAAATCTGGCAAGGAAACAAGAAATTCTGCATGATACTTTCTTTGACTGGGAAAAGGATATTTAGAACCTGTTTGTGCTTTACACTATATAGATTGCAGTCTAAATTTCAGCAAAGAGGAAAAACGTGGGAGTGAACTTGTACAAATGAAGGACTGACCAAACACGAGACAGCTGTACCATATATGAAAAATAACCTTCCTTTTTATGTATGGAACTGTGCATAATTTGTGTGAAAATCAGAGCAGTACTTACAGCCTGAAGAAACCGGAAAGACAAAAGGACACTGTCACTTCCCCCCCACGAACGTCTGTTTTCATAATCGCCCTCCTCAAGCAGGTACTGATGGCCTTTGTAGCATTCCTTGTCATAGGCAACCCATCTAAAACAACCACACAGCAAAAGACAGACAAATAATTAAAACAAAAAATGCATCATTTTCCATAACAAATAAAAGGGGAAAAGAACATCCTAAGAACGCTAAGATGAATATCACAGATTCAGCTAACAAACAAAGCAACGCTTGTTGTTTGAAATCACAACGAGCACTCACATGAAGTGGCTCTTTGTGGAATACAATTCCACCAAGTGATTGTTTCTCTAACAACAGTTTACTTGTGCAACGCTTCTTGATGTACCTCCTCTCGTCAGCCATATTCCTAGTACCAATATTCAGTACTACAGAGGCTCACACGTTCAACGGCCAAAACACTAAGAGTCACCAATTATCATGTATAAAACCAGCAGCAGACCTCTTCAATGTCTTAATAAGTAAGGACATTCTGCCCTCGTTAGAGCTAGTGACAAAATTCTCATAGATTCCAGTAGAGCATGATTTCATCCACTTAAATTGTTCCTCGATCTAAATTAAGAACATATATCTACCTATCCATATATGTGTGTGTGCGTATATTTATAGAGTCAATAGAATTTAATATATACCATTCACTGCATAGGTAATATACTTCCGTACAACAGTGAATAACACTATTTTAAAAGTATTTTGAACAAATAGATAAGCCGCATTAAAACATTTGTTCTAATGGATCTTAATTTGAAAAAGTGCAGCACAAAAACATTTCCCTCTCCACTTTTCTTTCTTGTAAGTATTTCTTTCATTAAGACTCACTTGAAAGTATTTAGAACGGCTGTACAAACTCTGTCAGTGCCGCAATTTGGCGGGCAGGAATAGCTTTACTTCTGTAACATTTGTTTTACATTAATTCAGCTGTTTATGTTACCACAGTATTACAAAAATAAAAGAAGCTACAACAGACAGAAGGATGGTCTTTAATAATTTCAGGCTTCCCAGATTGCTAATACGTAATGTATTTACTTGAATAGATTATCTGAGTATTCACAAGTAAGTTTATTGTGAGCTTAGTACTTGTGAGATTCTGAAAACAGCCTAAAAGAATGGCTTTAAAAGAATGTATATTATCAAATCTTTCTATTCAAGTATTAACACTGAAACCCTTAAGAACAAACTAATGTTACTGAAAACTATTTCATTGCTAAGCTCTTTGGCAGAAGCAAATGTCTTGTACGCTTTCAAATACTTAGTTAAACTGTTGGGTTTTGGGAAAGGGTGAAAGTACAATAGGTGGTTTAGTAGCTATCTAAAATAGCTGGACCTGAGCCTACCTCTTGAGTGGTTCACCAAAGCATCGGCCTTTAAGTTACACCGCCTTTGTGGGAGAAAATGAGACACAGGGCAACAAAGAATCAATCCTAGGTTTCACAGAAGGAAAATAAGGGTGGATTCCTAATTTTAGATAACATGCAACTGCTGACAAAGTAAAACCACGAAGACAACAAAACAGTTTATAGATGTCAGAGGCATTAAAATGTCAAACTGGAGGCTGACCACCTCTACCCAAGGTCATTCCTGTAAATTAAGCAGAGATTATCAGAAATGTAAATCAATACAAATTAAAGCTCTGTGTGAATACTGTCATTAAGGAACAAAGGGGCCAAGTTTTTGGCATTTGAATTGTAAACGGACTTCACACTTCTCTCTCACTTTGCTTTACCTTCCTATGTTTCCTCAGATAGGTGAGCCATATGGAGAGTAAGTTTATCCAAGGCTAATAACTGACATGAGAAAAGTACATTCCTTTCTTCTCGATATATTTTACCTGACCTTACAATAAAGCAATTCAGGTAAATTAAATCACATATATTAAAGGCATATTAACCTTCGTTACAAAACTTCCCAATACTCATAAAACTAATTGCACGATAGAATCAGTCAGATTCTAACCACCCTTCAGTTAGTACTTTTTAGTATTTAGTTACTACTTTTTGTTTTAGAGGTAGAAAAACAGAAAACCAAAATATACTTACACTCCACCAATGACACGTATTGATCTAATTTCCTGAAAATCCTCTTCGTTACCAAACACAGCTGGGACAGAATCGATGTTTTCAGAAAACTCTTTAGACCATCCTCCAAAGTGGGTTTTCTCATATATGATTATCTAGGAGACATGATTTCAAACAATGCTTTGAGTATGTTCTCATTAGTAATCTGAAGTCTGAGTATGTGGACTGTTGCAATAGGTGAGAGAAACCGTTTTTTCCTCCAACAAACTGTCACTATGAAGAAAATTCAGTGTTGCATTCCTGAGCTCTTCTGACTCTTGGCTGCTCTAGGAGCTGAAGATACCATATTGTGATTTAGATAGGCGTGTCACACTATTTATACGCGTTTCCACACAAGGATACTTATTCACTTAATTCTATATACGCAATTGCATTCTGTAGCTACATGACTGTGACTTAGACTGTAATACTCAATCTGGGCAATATCTATTGGTCGGCAGTGAATCCCATCCTGTCACAGCTAGCTACACTGAGTGAGCTCTTTAAAACTAGGCAAGAGGCCTTTCTCTGCACTTTACCGAAGTCATTTGAGGGACTGAATGCAGTTAACACACCTTCTATATTCCTCACCTGCTACACTACACAGATCACCTATCAACAACGTTAGCATTTATTAACAATAGTTATTAGAAAAAGTCTTGTGTGTGTTTGTAAAATGAAAAGTTAATTAAAACAATAGCTTTTTTGTGGAGAACTAGAAAAGGGAAGAAAAAGGAGCAATAATTCTGGGTGAGCTTTCTGCTCCTCAAATTACAGAAGGTTCATGGTCTCATTCCTGACTCTTGTGTCAGGCTCAGGTATAGGAAAGGTCCTGTTCCCTTCTCCTGCCACCCCTCCCGCTCCCCCTTCCTTTTTTTTTTTTTTTTTTTTTTTCTCAACTTGATAGGTTAACTGGGAAAATCTCTCCTGACACCTTTCCATTATAACGATGGATGTGTCAATCGGAAAAACTCATTTTGGGTGGCAAAAACTTTACAATTCTTCTGCAGCACACTTGCATTTTCTTAGTTTGGAAAAAACAAACAATCACTTCTTTTACATCTCAGGAAACACTAGCAAGAAGTGGATTTGTCAATGTTACTGAATTTTCCTTCAGAAGCAGGCAAACACAGAACACACAACTAAACAGCATATGCCCAAGAAAAAGAAAATAGCCTAAATAAAGGTTTTATATTTCTAAGGTGCTCATATTTCATCCTCAATGTCCTCAGTGCTTACCTTGACGTTCACAGGCATTTGTACCTTTAGTCCACCCTAAAAAAGATGGGAAAGAAAATGGTATTTATATAAAACTTGAAGTTATGCTTTGACATATATTTTCACAATAATAGGAGAGCATGACGTCTTTGTAATTATATCAGTGGTGGCCAAATTGAACACTACTTTAAATATTCTGATAATTCATAAAAGCCAGAGGCACTAGAAAACTGATCCACAAACAAAATTAGCATGTTGATGAGTCTGCTGGGCTGCAAGCAACTTTAAAATATATTCTTCTTTTGTTGTCTGTTAGCACTCTAAATATTTATTATGTTTTTTTAAAAAACTAATTTACACTGACCAAATTTTTAAAATTCACTTTTAAAGTTGCATTGTGCATATTACAAGTTTCTTAAGCACAAGACATGATACACTAACTATAAACACCAGAAGAGAGAGAGAGAGAAAATAGGCTGACGTTCATTTCTGTGGCCTATGAGCAAATACCATAAATGAACTGTCTCTGGAAATGTTAACAAATGATGTTTATCTACATCTTTGGAATGCTGGAGAGAAAGCTTTAAAGCCACAGGGGAATAGGACATCTACTTCCCATGAGTGACTAAAAAGACAACTCCTGTTAGGTCTTATTCTTTTTTTGCTTTGAAACGCTCTTCCTCTATACTTGCTATGTATACAGTCAAACTATATGTTATATTCTTCTATATCCCTTTCATGTTTAGATCTATATGCTGTCTATTAAAAGGAAAAATAAGCTGTACCTCTCAGGATTATTGTGCAGTTTGTGGTCACAGGAAGACTAATCGGTATATTTCATTCGTTAACTCCTCACCTGGTTTTCTATTCCTAGGAGACTCTAGCTGTACCATTAAAAAAAAGGAACAACTTTTGAAGAGCTTTTCTAATTAATTAGTTGGTGTTGGTTCTAGTACAATTACAAATCTTTTAGTTCCATCTTATTTGATCTCCACATGACAACAGTAGTCCTCCAGCGAGACGTCCTAGGGAGTTAGCTGCTCTCTCTGGCTGTGTTCTCCTCTGGGCACGTAAACTGCACAGACGCAGAAGCCCAGCAACCTTCAGGATGATAGACACCATGCCATTACATCACTGCTACCACATCGTGGCATGAGAGGAATGTTACATACGTAAAGACTAATCCTTAAAGGATGTTAAAAATTAAGGAATATTTAGACCAAAATGACTGAGGGAGCAACAGTAGGAAAAGGTACGCATATGGCTTATTAGGGAATCATGAACGCCTCACCATTTTTAAGGGACGCAAGGATTTCACATCTGCTGAAGGAATTTCAGATGGTGAATTGCCTTCTTCCAAAATCTTCATCTCTCCCTTGTAATTAAGGTCTGAATAAGCAAGCCATCTATAAAAATCAGGATAAATGACTTGTTAATCTAATCAGATACATAACAAACACAACAATCTTCATATTACATTATGTTTCTTTTTGTGCCCATTAGAGCTAGACAATGTGTTTTAGATACTGCCATTATATCAAAGACAAGCTATATTGTAATATAATGGCAACATCAATACTAAGATGATCTCAGCCACATTTCCTCAGCCCAAGCCAAATGTAAACGAAAGAGCAGCAAACAACCAGTAAGCTGTTCACTTACTTTAAGAAGGCAGTTTGTTACACTGTGAGTATTAACAAAACAAATGTCAGCACTGAGGACGAGACACTTGCAGCAAATTTTCCCTAGGGTTGTCTCCTTAGGAATGAAAAGGCTTCTGTATCAATTCCACTTATTTTAATAACTTCCACTGGAAAAAAAACGTTCATTTACAATACTGCATTGGAAAGTAGGCTATCCTAATTCTGACATGAAGATTAAAAACGTTGATACTCCTTCAGATTGTTTTAAATTAAACAGAACAAGCGAACACAGAAGAGGCACAGAATTCCCACACTTCAGGAACTGTGAAATTTTGGACATTTACCCAAGAAACAGACTAGTTTTGTCCAACACAGGAAATGTCAGACTATTGAGGAGGCCTGTACCACTTTGCATCACCTTTTTGCAGAAAGTCAGGATACAGCTGTAGCCTGATGAACGCTTGGATGATATAATATTCATTTTTTGGTATTCAGTCACAGTGTTATCGTTTTAATAGAGTGGTTGGCTAGGGAGACATTACCTATTCTCCAATGAACTAAATGTTAACTATATGAATGAACTAAATGTTAATTACAGCTGAACTGCTGCTTCTATTTATAAAGCTACTCAATAACAGAATTATAGAAATCTCTTCTTCCAGCAAGCAGAGGAAGAATGCCTTTGAGAATTTAGTCACACAGCTAGGACCCCACATCGCATGGGCTGAAGTGCAGAGCTGGGAATATCTAGTGTATGTTAACTGATCTATAGCAAGAAAGTAAAAGATTGTTCCTATCACTGACAGACTTTTACTCCACGATGTCATTTTACCTGCTTGCAAAATAGTACAAAAAAGTACTCACACTCCTGATTTGACACTTATATAAGGGTTTTTTTCAACATCCAGTTCTTCTAAATTGGCAACTGCATTCTGTATGCAGATGGGAAATCCCTCTGGGCCGGCTCCCAGGCAGAACTCTACCTCTGGAACGCTGCAGTCCTGCAGAAACAAACCAAACAGTATAGATTATCTACCTTGGAAAAGTCTGCCACATCGAGGGGCAAAGAGCACTTATGCTTCCTTCTTTTCAATTTTCTTCTCATCCCCTCTAACCTAACTGCGGGCTTCATAACATGGAAGTCTCTTTTTCCAAAGGAAGACTGGGATTTTTGGAAAAGGTAAGTGAAATAAATTTCCAACCCCTACTAACTTTTGAAGAAAAGCTATGCATCTATGTCTATTTGGCTATCTTCAAAATGCTCAGTTTAAATACTCTCTAAATAAGGGTCTGACAGTATTTACTGATAGACCTTTATACAATATTGCCATTTACATAATATAGCCTTTTTTTTTTTTTAAAGATAGTGCTACCATAACACATATACAGATACATATCTATGTTTATAAAATGTAAAACATTCTAGAAATGTCTACTACTTCATTTTTTCCCCTCCTCAGGTAATAATTAAGCTCTGCAATGCATCCAACTATGTCTTCAAGCATGAGTTGAATTTTCTGTCATGTTAAACAGAACTACAGCGTTTTAGATAAAGAAAGAAAGAAAACAAAACAGTAAAAATAACAGTGCTGGAAGCATTTCTTAAGTAGACGTTTCACAATTCTCCTTTTACTACAGAACAACAGACTTATCTTGCTGGAGTTTTTATCTGCTAATCACAGAATCACAGAACGGTTGAGGTTGGAAGGGACCTCTGCAGATCAGCTAGTCCAACCCCCCTGCTCAGGCAGGGTCCTCTAGAGCATATTTCCCAGGATCGTGTCCAGGCGGGTTTTGAATATTTCCAGGGAAGGAGACTCCACAACCTCTCTGGGCAACCTGCTCCAGCGCTCCGCCACCCTCCCAGGAAAGAAGTTTTTCCCCAGGTTTAGATGGGATTTCCTGTGGTTCAGTTTCTGCCCGTTGCCTCTTGCCCTGTCGCTAGGCACCACGGAGAAGAGACTGGCCTCATCCTCTTGACACTCCCCCTTCAGATACTTGCGTACATTGATGAGATCCCCTCTCAGTCTTCTCTTCTCCAGGCTAAGCAGGCCCAGCTCCCTCAGCCTTTCTTCAGAGGAGACATGCTCCAGTCCCCTCACCATCTTTGTAGCCCTCCGCTGGACTCGCTCCAGTACTGCCATGTCTCCCTTGTAGTGGGGAGCCCAGAATTGGACACAGTACCTCCAGGTGAGGACCCACCAGGGCTGAGGAGAGGCGGAGGATCACCTGCCTCCACCCGCTGGCAACACTCTTCCTAAGGCAACCCGGGAGACCAGTGGCCTTCTTGGCCACAAAGGCACATTGCTGTCTCACGCTTAACTTGTTGTCCACCAGCACTCCCACCTCCTTCTCTGCAGAGTCGCTTTCCAGCAGGTCAACCCCTAGGCTGTCCTGGTGCATATATCATGCTGGAGAAAAACTTGTTGAAAACATGATCTTGTCTATAATTTGCAGGATTTTTATGAAACTATATTTATTTCATAATATTTATACGAAATGCATTGCCGGTACTTTTTTCCAGCATTCAAGCACACCATGAACCAGTGAGGATCTTCTATAAGGTCCTGATTCAGCAACGCATTACAGAACAGCCTCCCTGTTAGCTGAAGGGTGGCTCATGCTTCCAGGGTAGCTGAAAACCTTCAGGTCTCAGTGACGGCTTCACAGTACCCTTCCCCTTGACCTAATGCAAATGGAGGCATGGATCACAAGGATAAAGGACTGGGACAGCCTAGAGAGACCCCTAACTCTAGCTAGAAGAGGATGCCCCTCGCACGTGTGCTAGAGGAGCTAGGTGAGAAGCTGTCCCTGAGGGTGCCCTCAGCTGAAGGGTTCGGTTCCTGGATGTGCCGAGGACCCAGCCAGGCTGGCACCACAACATAGATCCTGCGTGCCCTGCAGCTCCCCACAAAACCTGAAAGGCAAAATACTAGAGCCTGCAGAGAAATCTCCCTATTTAAATTAGGTTTTCAGGGGAGGTTTCAGTGACAGAGTAATATTCTACCTAGGAACACATCTCCTCCTGGTTAACAAAGTTCTTTCAACACGTATTTAACTGTCTGGAATAAAAATAGCAATCCTGATATATGTACTTCAGCAAGTTATTTCACTTTCTTCAAGAGACTCAAAGTACCACAGCATATTGTTTTAACAACTCTTCCTCTTATGCAATTGTCTTTCTGTTTTATTTACTCTGCAAAGAAGATGCACGCTTTGTTTTCAGGAAAAGAAAAAAAAAAAAAAGCAATACCAGAATTTTTATCGTCAGATGATTAAAATCAGAAAGACAAGAAAGAAACTTTCTAGTATAACGCTACTTTATAGCAAAACGGTGAAGGTACACCATTGCTCAGCCTCCACTGCAAGATAAAAAGTCTCTTTCCTTCTTTTTTGTCCTTATAGTGATGCCATACACCATTTATACAAAGGCTGTGCTTACACTCTATGTACTGAAATCTGGGAATCCAATATTACGAAATTAGAAATTCTACAAGCATCTATAAGAATTCCAGAAATAGTAATGCAAGACTTTCAATGGTTTCAGATAAATTTTGAAACAAAGCACCTACAAGACCAGACAAGTGGCAAAATAAAGTATCTTTGCCTGCGGGCCCAGACAGAACATGAGACAGAGCATGTTTAATTTAAATTCAGTAGGAGTTTTTTTTCATTTCAAGTTTGGAAAAAGCCAGTTTGTATTCTTTTTTCAAATTTGCTTTCTTGACTCTGAAGCTCATGAGGCAGGCCTTTTCCTCACGAGGTGAAGCACATATCAGTTCTCCATCGGGTAGGTGATGTGGTAACCACCGCTTGGGGTAAAGAGCTCTTTCCTATTTTTTACTGTCTCCAGCCAGATTTTGACAGCCAAAAATGAACTCTATTCATTGTGTTGGTATTTTTGTGTGTACTAGATTAAGTCCACAAAGTTTTTCATAAAGTATCATATAGTAAAGTGAGGTCATTATCAAAAGCAATTTAAATACCTATTTTTAAAATGTTTGAGCAAGAAGCATGTCATGTTTCCTTAAAAAAAAAAAAAAAAGTAATACACAATGACTTAATTAGTGAGTTCAGTTTACATGTTAGGGTTGAATATTCATCACAGACTGCAGAGAACAGTAAAATTTAGTCTTAAGTATTGCTGTATGAGATGAACGCTACACATTTGCAGATGTTCATTCAAGTTCTATGCCATTAATTTATATAATTTAAGCATGTAAACTTTAGCTTGGTAAATATTTGCCCCAGCACATTCATATCCGCCTGAGCATATTTAATAGGCATTGTTAGTAGGAAAGTTAAGGCTCTGGAAGTAAAGCCACTATCTTTAAAATAAAATTAAAATCATACAAGTATGCTAGTATTCAGGTTGAGAATGAGATCCTTCAGTCCAAAGCCCTTTCATTTTCAAGGTGTCAAGATTCTAGAATAAGATACTCACATGCAAAACTACTACCATACCGTTTCAGACCAGATCCAAAACTGGAAAGTTTTCTCCCTGCTCTCCCCCAACCTTTGTATCGAGGAGCTGTCAAAACTCATGCCATGTTCATTATCTTACTGGCACGGCAGGCAAAAACAGAAGAAAAAACCCAGCAAATAGATGGCATCTCACCGGGGTAGCAGCGTTCGTTTCTGATACTAATACACAACTAGTGAATGCTTAGGTAGGTGACAACCTACAGGCATCCATCTTCCTTCACTCTAGGATATTCCCCTCCTATCTCCACACATCGCTATCCTGGACTTCCCTCATGGTCTTCTGGGAACAAAGCACTACTAACGATGATTAGGAATATGCAAAGAAGATACAGTCTCCTACAGTCTGAAAAGCATTTCCAAAGTATGGGGAATACTTGAGCCAGCTTGCAGAGAATAGACGCTTCCAAAACAGTACATGCGCCCCTTAGCAGTAAGGTTAAAGCTTCTGAAAAGGGTCAAGTACCAACTTCAAGTCCTTAGCATTAGATGCTACTTTTCAGTGGCATCTTTGACATTTTTCTAGTTTGCTCAAGAGCTTCAATGTAAGAGAGAGACTTAGAGCATTCAAACCGCTCAAGGTGGCCTCCTGCTATTTACCTTCCTTCTCAGTCTAGGGTTACAGCACTAATAGCATCAGAGAGGCAAAATAGTTTTGGCACTTTTAGGTCTCCTCCTTGGAGCAGTAAGCAGTGGTGACTGAAGTGAAGCAAAGTAGCCTATTTAAATGAAGTCGTCTTTTATGTCAACAACAGGATAAAGCATGACTAAAGCCTGGCTTTTCAAGCTAAAAGTCAAAACAACAATGAGAGAAAAGTCTACTGAAAATCAGACCTAATTAGTTCTGGTGCTCACACAATTGCTTGTTAATATAGTCTAGACACACATCTTACTGTTGACACATAGTTTGTCCTTAGGACAGGTCAGCCTCCTCAGCATTTTTTTTTTTTTCATCTTATTCTCTCTGTTGGTCCTTCAGTCCTTTTATCCATCCAAGATCCTTTCTTCTGGTTGTCCTGCTCTGTACCACTCTTGCTGCCACCCACCACCATCATCAAACCAAACTAAAGAACTCAGCATGGCTGGAAGCAAAATAAAATAATAATAAAAAAGTTAATACCTACACTGCCCTGTAAGTACTAACAAAAGAGACAACCTGAAGCTGCTGGATGTCTTCCTACAGCACTTGGCTATTCCCTGCTTCAATTAATATCTTGTTGTGTGTTTTTTGGGGGTGAAAAGAAAAGAAAATAGAGGCTTCATAAAACATTGTGAGCATTCCCATTACAAAGAGTTTTGCTTTAGGAGAATTCACAAGGAATCCAGTTATTCCCACCTAACCATCTTGTGGATAGAAGGTTATAAGCTGCTGTTTTACACCGCCAGTCATCTTGCAAAATAGTGGCTTACAGGATTGATCCAACGTGGAACCATCAGCAACTCTTTTCAGCTCTCACTGTTGGGAAAGCAACACTTAGCACCCTCTTAAGGGCTCCAGATGAAAAAAGCTCTATGTTTTCACAAGAAATGTATATATTTGCAGTATACCAAAGGATTGACTTCTCTAAATGGATTGTGCTGCAGGAGCCACATTGAACCTGTGTGTGCAGGCAGATTTTGCGACCCTAGGCTGATGTTTACTTGCCTCAGGGGAATTCAAACTCCCTATTATTTTGAATAGGTTTTAGTTTTACCAGTTGCACAATCTGTTTTGGGGGCATTTTTTTCCCCCCTAAGTTCCTTCAAATTAAACACAGATGGATACATCTAATTTGTATCCATAAGCTGAGCCACAAGCTAACCACAAAGTTAATAGAATTTCTGTTTTTTGTGAAGGCTTGAAGCCAGATCAGAACACAAAGCTACTGTCAGACTGTTCTTAAGCCCACTAACATCTGCCAGTAAAAAATAAAAATAATATTAAATCCACTGCCTACAGCTTCTTTAGTAAACATCTGTCTTTCTGTGGTTGGTAAGCTATTTTCTTCTCAAATACAATCAATTTTCATATCTCCTAACTCAAGGCATCTGAACAGTCATTAAATAGTCACAATAAAAAGCTGCTAGAAAGATTAGAAGAAAAGCCAGGTAGCCTGGAAACACAGCCAGCATGACCAAACTAGGCAGCGGAAAGCCACTGGGCTACTCGGCCTATGAAAAAGAGAATGACAGTGATTCTGTAGATCACATGCATGTAAATAACCTGAAAGAAAAAAAGCTGAATAATATTTATCAATAAAATGCAATGCCTGTATTTTTTGACCAGAAAAAAAAAAAGTTTAAAAGGTTGTACTTCGGTAAACTACATTCTAGAAGTAGTCCCATAGCAGCTGAAGCATAACCTAAAAAAAGGAATGCTTTCACAAATCATGACTTAAAGGACAAGACTCAGCTTCGTAAATTCTATCCTTCTACTGGTTCCACGTAACACTACTGACTAATGACAAAAATACTCCCAAACGCACACATCTGCTAGACAGGAGGTTTAACTTGCACAAGGAATAAAGTGTTAGTTATTAAAATAATGTACTATAACAAAGGTTTTCATCTGTGTTCCATACAATTGAACCACACAGTGGAAGAAAGAAGAGCAATACTCAAACCCACTTAGCTCTAGTTAAAAGATTTTTATGAAGCGTGATGGAACTATCCTCGGTGTCTTTACTATCCAAGGATTTTCTTGGACACTGAAGACACTCAGCTTCCCTCAGCCTTAGACCACAGTTCCACATGTTATTGAGGGATTTCTTCAATTACTTAGCTGTCTTATGCTAATTAATATTCATATCCCTTTTTGGTCAAATGCTTTTAACATGTATTTGAACTAAACAAATTCTAAGTTCTTTGTTCA